ATTCACAGTAAAAGAAACTCTTTCCCCACGAATTAATAGGTGAAGGATGCCACGAAGAAGTATGAAACTTTATTTAAACTTCTATTGTATTCTAATTCGAAGGTCTGCAGAAAACATAAACGCACGAAGATTCACAGTTTAATCATAACCAATGAAAAGATTATTGAATATCCACACACATCTATGCAGGAAATTGTAATAACTTTCAAAATAAAATGTGAATATGTTCATTACGTTTAAAAAATTAGGTTTCATTATTGTTTTCAATGTACACGCAATAAAGAAAATACATAAATCCTCCCTATTTAACAATGTCGTCTTCTCGAAGTAGAAGACGTAGAACTCTTGTGAATCCTTTGCGACTCAAAGTGCTTTTAGTTTTCCATTCTAGCGTTTCTCTCAACGTTACTTCATTAACGACGAAAATTCCAACGAAAAACAATAAAACACATAGCTGGGATAAAATCGAATGCCCAGTAGTCCAAATGTGAGTCTAACTGATCACTTTTCCGAAAACAAGTCGAGAAAAAATGAAAACTGACAATATAAACCAGCATTCGTGATACGCGATCAATATCTATAAACAAAACACAGCAGAAGTTTGATTCTGCCTCTAGTCCTTGTCCGGGAGATCATCTCGTAAGCAACCTACTGCAGGGAGACCGCTTGATGGCTAGCCTGGGAAACATGAATCTAATTACTCAGTTCTCATCTTTCTTATAATGCTAATTAGCTTTTCGCCAATGCGATTACGTATAACCAATGAAAACGATAAACAACAGATTCATGACTCACTCGGGGCTCGTCTCTCGAACAACGCGCAGCACTTGAAGAAGCGCGTCTTTAACGAGACTTACGGCCCCCATAAACATTGAAACATGCAACGAAGCAGACATTACTACAAGCAATGGTTTCAGCCTTCTTCACGTTCTGCTTGAACGCAACACGTATCATGAAACCTCAAGAAACTCAAATCCATCACTTGTAGCGACGCTTATATCACCGGAAGTTCCAACGTGTACTCCGTGTTGTTCACGAGAAGAACCCCGGGTCGGTACAGAGATACTTAACACTAGAACTACCAGAGAAATCAAAATGACCCATTCCTGATTGTTTCTTTAACAGTTATTAAAAAGATAACAGATAATTCTCGGAGAAATTACAGAAATTGATTTAACAATAGGTAAACTGAATTGTAAATCAATAGGAATCAGAATAGTAGTACTGTTGGTGTCCATAGAAAACTGTCAAAAAATCAATTTGACTGTTCGGTAGTCCTAGTGGTAAAAGGGGTCTCTTGTTAAGGATTTTGTT